CCAACCAGCCTACCGGCTTGTGTTTATATCTTTCTCCTGTTAATAAAGAAGTTGGAAATGGAAAATTAAGTGACGAGGATGTTTTCACGGATAATGCAATATTAAACATATCGATTGATTGATATATTGAATGATGATATTATACACAGCAAAAACATTGACAGTTTTGAGCATACTGTCGGCCATGCAGTAAGAACAGGTTTGAGCATAGTTACCCGTGCTTGGAATCGGAGAGACTATGGAAAGGAGTCCACAATTTCAACCTTCATAATTGAAATTATGGCGGGAAAAGATTATATAATAGTATTTATATTTATTCATTATTATTTTTTAGAGTAGCATTATTCATTATTATGTCAAAAAGACCAAGACTGTCTGAAATGGGGTATCGTCTGGAAAGAGGTAGCAGAATAGCACATAATTGCCTGAGTAGTAGTCCGAGGCCCATAGTCTAGGATATTACATGTAAACATCAATCAATCAAATCAAATCAATCAATCAATCGATCGATCAATCAATCAATCAATCTACACATTCGCGGACAGATTACACGTAGTCTCACATATCGTGATTATCCAGCCCCTCTCTATTTATCCTCACATACCCCACAACTAAATGTTTTGACCCGATATCAAATAGCTGGACAGCGACAGTAAAATTAGATGCTCGTCAGATTGAAGTGTCAAGTCGACCAAGAGGACTGTCTGAACTCACATACCAAGAAATCTGTCATTGCTGTTTCTAAACTTCTTTGTCGACGAACGAAACAAGAACGTTGAGAAACTCGCATATCTACGCATGACGCAACTCTAGCTTTCGGCAGACGACTGATGCGGTAAGTCTGGAAAGGCCAAACATGTTCTAGTATCATCCCACAACCAACATATCTTTCTAAAGATTTGTAAATGACAGAAACAAATGTATGTAGCGTTATTTCCTGCTCGCGTTCGTGCTGTATCTTTTTCTTTTAACGAGCCGAGACCGCGGTGCATGCTGCAATTATTTGTTTTTGCAGGCTAAAAATAAATTCCATACTACATTACGCGCCAAGCTGCTGGTTGCAAGGCGATGAACTGAATAACATCGTCGCCACGGGATAACGCGGTCAACTTAACTAACTTACCGATTTCAATGCACGACACAAAGCCATTCAAACTTGTCGGATACAGATCATCAGTTGAAAACCTCTGCGTATACTAAGGCCACGCTGCATCAAACGATCGTCGCTCGATGTCAGACGGTGTGTCATACCCCGGGTGCCGTGATACCAGTTACAATTACTTGCTCATATTCATAGGTATACTTTTCTGTTGCAGTAACTAACCATGATAAAGACTGACGACTTCCGAGTTTATATGTACATCAACAGAGGCGAAGATGATTCAGGGGATCACCCCGTGTACTGGAAACATGACGGACAGCGCTTCGCCTACAACAAAACTGTCAAACTTAACACGGATACAAAATATACGGTGAAATTTGTGTTGCAGCCAGCATTATATCCATTGTGAGTATAATCATAACAACTCATGGTATTATGCACGCTATGGATCCATATGTTACCTTCATAGACTTATTTGTATAGCAGCTCAAATTCACTATTAATTATGTTGTAGATTATTTTCGCTCTCTGTCTATTTTTGCTATTGTTGCTAGGCGAGTATTAAATTAGGCACTTACAATTCAGTTAAACCTACCTCTCTTTTTGTGTTTTGCCTGCAATTTAATCAAATCAATGGAAATATACTACAGTCTTTTCCAGCAATATACTACCTCTGTACAGTTAATTTCATGAAGGCATGGTTTTTTAATGGAATAATATTCATAAAACATATACCCTTGAAGACCCTCTAACTTAATGCAAATAAAACAATACACTTTTATTTGCTATAGAAGCCATTTGATAAACACCCATTTACCCATGAGTCTTTGCAGGTTTCCTCCAATCATTGGCCAATTTACTGCCATGCATCATTAAAGCCTTGTGATTGGTTAAGTTGTTTTCATCCATCATTTGAAATTTATAACATTTATAAATATTTTATGTAAAAAAACATTCATGCCTTAAGTCACTGCATGAATTACATTAACCAATTAATTAACCAATTAATTAACCAAACATTCACGTCAGTTCTTTGGTTTCCAATTTAAACTGGTTTCACTGTAAGACCTCTATAAACAGAACACTTCTGTAAACCAAACAATTACCTCAATTTGTTGGTGTTTGATTTAGACAGGTCACTGTAAGACCTTTATAAACTGAACACCTCTATAAACTGAAAACCTATATCGCCCAACATTTATCTCAGTTCTTTGTTGTTAAACTCCTAAAAATACCTCTGTAAACCAAACAATTACCTCAACTCTTTGGTGTTTCATAGGTGGATTTCACTGAAAGACCTTTATAAACTGAACACCTCTGTAAACTGAACACCTATATCGCCCAACATTTATCTCAGTTCTTTGTTGTTAAACTCCTAAAAATACCTCTGTAAACCAAACAATTACCTCAATTCTTTGGTGTTTCATAGGTGGGTTTCACTGTAAGACCTTTATAAACTGAACACTCTATAAACTGAACACCTATATCACCCAACAATTATCTCAGTTCTTTGTTTAGACAGGTTTATAAACAGAACACCTCTTTAAACTGAATACCTCTGTAAACCAAACAATTACCTCCAATTCTTTGGTGTTTGGTTTAGGCAGGTTTCACTGCAAGACCTTTATAAACTGAACACCTCTGTAAATTTAACACTTCTGTAAACCAAACAATTACCTCCAATTCTTTGGTGTTTGGTTTAGGCAGGTTACTGTAAGACCTTTATAAACTGAACAACTCTGTAAATTGAACACTTCTGTAAACCAAACAATTACCTCCAATTTTTTGGTGTTTGGTTTAGGCAGGTCACTGTAAGAACACCTCTGTAAACCAAACAATTACCTCCAATCCTTTGGTGTTTGGTTTAGGTAGGTCACTGTAAGACCTTTATAAACTGAACACTGAACACCTCTGTAAATTGAACACTTCTGTAAACCAAACAATTACCTCTAATTCTTTGGTGTTTGGTTTAGGCAGGTCACTGTAAAACCTTTATAAACTGAACACCTCTGTAAACCGAATACCTCGGTAAACCAAATAATTACCTCAATTTTTTGGTGTTTTGTTTAGGCAGGATTCACTGTAAGACCTTTATAAACTGAAAACCTCTGTAAATTAAATACTTCTGTAAACCAAACAATTACCTCCAATTCTTTGGTGTTTGGTTTAGACAGGTTACTGTAAGACCTTTATAAACTGAACACCTCTGTAAATTGAACACTTCTGTAAACCAAACAATTACCTCCAATTCGTTGGTGTTTGGTTTAGGCAGGTCACTGTAAGACCTTTATAAACTGAACACCTCTGTAAACCGAATACCTCGGTAAACCAAATAATTACCTCAATTTTTTGGTGTTTTGTTTAGGCAGGATTCACTGTAAGACCTTTATAAACTGAAAACCTCTGTAAATTGAATACTTCTGTAAACCAAACAATTACCTTCAATTCTTTGGTGTTTGGTTTAGGCAGGTTACTGTAAGACCTTTATAAACTGAACACCTCTATAAACTGAAAACCTATATCGCCCAACATTTATCTCAGTTCTTTGTTGTTAAACTCCTAAAAATACCTCTGTAAACCAAACAATTACCTCAATTCTTTGGTGTTTCATAGGTAGGTTTCACTGCAAGACCTTTATAAACTGAACACCTCTATAAACTGAACACCTATATCACCCAACATTTATCTCAGTTCTTTGTTTAGACAGGTTGATAAACAGAAGACCTCTTTAAACCAAATACCTCTGTAAACCAAACAATTGCCTCAATTTTTTGGTGTTTGGTTTAGGCAGGTTTCACTGCAAGACCTTTATAAACTGAACACCTCTGTAAATTTAACTCTTCTGTAAACCAAACAATTATCTCTAATTCTTTGGTGTTTGGTTTAGGCAGGTCACTGTAAGACCTTTATAAACTGAACACCTCTGTAAATTGAACACTTCTGTAAACCAAACAATTACCTCTAATTCTTTGGTGTTTGGTTTAGGCAGGTCACTGTAAAACCTTTATAAACTGAACACCTCTGTAAACCGAATACCTCGGTAAACCAAATAATTACCTCAATTTTTTGGTGTTTTGTTTAGGCAGGATTCACTGTAAGACCTTTATAAACTGAAAACCTCTGTAAATTAAATACTTCTGTAAACCAAACAATTACCTCCAATTCTTTGGTGTTTAGGCAGGTTACTGTAAGACCTTTATAAACTGAACACCTCTGTAAATTGAACACTTCTGTAAACCAAACAATTACCTCTAATTCTTTGGTGTTTGGGTTAGGCAGGTCACTGTAAGACCTTTATAAACTGAACACCTCTGTAAATTGAATACTTCTGTAAACCAAACAATTACCTCTAATTCTTTGGTGTTTGGTCTAAGCAGGTTCATTGTAAGACATTTATAAACTGAACACCTATATCAACCAACAATTATCTCAGGTCTTTTGTTTTTGTTTGGGCAAGTTTCACTGTAAGATGTAAA